CTACTACTGCTGCTGCTACTGCTGCAGTTGGAGCAGCAGCAGAACATGAGTCAGCACCAGCAGCAGCCGCAGCAGACGGGGCTTCCCCTATGGCGGGAGATACGTCGCTTTCTCGTGCTTCCCCAGCCGGTGCAGCAGCACGAGCAGCAGCAGCAGCAGCAGCAGCAGCGAGCGCTTCCGAGGCCAGGCAGGAACCTCTGCTGCTGCAGGAGCTGCGGCTGCTGGGCCTGATGGTGCAGCACGTGCTGCGGCGGCAGCAGCAGCAGCGGCAGCGCTTGCTGCCGCTCTCGCGAGCCTTCATTGTTGCTGAGGAGGAGCGAAAGGCGCTGCTGCAGACTGCAGCAGAAGTGCAGCAGGGGCTAGCAGCAGCAGCAGCAGCAGCAAAGCAAGCTCTGCAGAATGCCCGCAGCAAGAAACAGTGAGGCTTGAGGTGTACATACGCATGCAAATGAAACTAATAATGAAATGGTTAAGTTTAATTTAATTTAATTTAATTTAATTTACAAAAGTACTCCAAATATAAACGAATGGGAGGCAAAATGGGACAAAAATAGACGAAGAGGGGCAGAAGCTGCTGCTGCTGCTGCTGCTGCTGCTGCTGCAGGCTCCGCGGCCGCAGTGGCCCTTCTAAGAGTGTGTCTCTCCGCAGCGTCAGTGCAGGGGTTACCTCAGTTTGCCAGCAGCAGCAGCAGCAGCAGCAGCAAGAACAGCAGCGGCAGCTGCAGCTGCTGCAGCTGCAGCGGGAACGGCGACTGCTGCAGCGGAGAGGACCCCTGTGGAGGCTGCAGCGAATGGCTGCTAGCCACGGCCCTTATCTCCAGCAGGCGCAGCTGCACCGGCAGCAGCAGCAGCAGCAGCAGCAGCGGCAGCAGCGGCAGCAGCAGCGGCAGTTGCAGCGGCAGCAGCAGCGTGCTGCTGAGCAAGCAAGTGCGTCCAGGGCTTCGCCGCCACGGCGCCAGCAGCCTGCAGCAGCACGGCAGCATCAGCAGCATCAGCAGCAGCAGCAGCAGACGCAGCAGCAGCAGCAGCAACAACAGCAACAAACTCCTCATGCTGCTCTCTCTGACGTGCATCGCCAGGCATTCCCAGAAGAGCACCAGCAAGGAATAGAGGCGACACTGCGCAGCATGGAGCAGCAGCAGCAACAGCAGCAGCAACAACAGCAGCAACAGCAGGGTCAGGAGAGGGAACGGCAGCAACAGACCCACAGTCTCTCAGGCACTCTTCTGCCATCCCCACCCGATCGCCGTGAGCAGCAGCAGCAGCAGCAGCAACGACAGCCGCCGCAGCTGCTGCAACAACAGCCGCAGCAACTGCAGCAGCTGCAGCAGCAGCAGCCGCAGCAACTTCAGCAGCTGCAGCAGCAGCAGCCGCAGCAATTTCAGCAGCTGCAGCAGCAGCAGCCGCAGCCATTTCAGCAGCTGCAGCAGCAGCAGCCTCAACAACTGCAGCAGCAGCAGCAGCAGCAGCCGCAACAACTGCAGCAGCTGCAGCAGCAGCAGCCGCAGCGACTGCAGCAACTGCAGCAGCTGCAGCCGCAGCAACTGCAGCAACTGCAACAGCTGCAACAGCTGCAGCAGCAGCAGCAGCCGCAGCAACTGCAGCAACTGCAGCAGCTGCAGCAGCAGCAGCAGCCGCAGCAACTGCAGCAACTGCAGCAGCTGCAGCAGCAGCAGCCGCAGCAACTGCAGCAACCGCAGCCGCTGCAGCAGCAGCAACGACAGCAACTGCACCAGCTGCAGCAGCAGCAGCCGCAGCAACTGCAGCAGCTGCAACAGCAGCAGCCGCAACAACTTCAGCAGATGCAGCAGCAGCAGCCGCAGCAGCTGCAGCAGCTGCAGCAACAGCAACTGCAGCAGCTGCAGCAGCTGCAGCAGCAGGAACAGCTTCCTCTCCAGCCATGGGATATAGAGTCCTCCTCTCAGTGGAGTATGGCGCTGCTTCCTCCACAGCAGCAGCAGGCACAGCAGGAACAGCAGCAGCAGCAGGAGCAGCAGCAGCAGCAAGGGCTGGGCTCCACCGCTGCTGCCGCTGAATTCGATTTGCCATACCTGGGCGACCCGCTGCCCCCTTTAACCTGGAGAGAGGAGCAGCAGCTTCAGCAGCTGCAGATGCTTCGGCTGCAGCGTCTGCATCAGCACGAGCAGCAGCAACAGCAGCAGCAGCAGCAGCAGCAGCCACGGCTCTCCGATGTGGCACCAGCAGCAGACCACGTGGGTGATGGTCTGGGTTACCTCGGGAGGCCACTGCAACAGCAGCAGCAGCAGCAACAACAGCAGCAGGTGGTAGAGGAGCAGGGACAAGAAGCCCAGCGCCAGCAGCAGCAGCAGCAGCAGCAGAGGCTGCTGGCAACCGAAAGAGCCTCTCCCCAGATGGGTCCTTCCCCTGTTCCTGTTCCTCAAGGAACAGCAGCAGCAGCTGCTTCAGGCCGAGTAGCAACAACCGCTTCAGGTAGGAGCAGCAGCAGCAGCCGCAGCAGCAGCAGTGGTAGTACTAGCAGCAGCAGCAGCAATGATAGTAGTAGTAGCAGCAGCAGCAGTGGTACTAGTAGCAGCAGCAGCAGCAGCGTTTGCGGAAGGACTCTGAGGGACACTCTGCTGCAGATCCAGCCGTGCCTTGTTTTATGTAATTTCCTGTATATTACATGGGTACTTAGTTGCTGCTGCTGCTGCTGCTGTTGCTGCTGCTCGTGCTGATGCAGACGCTGCAGCCGAAGCATCTGCAGCTGCTGAAGCTGCTGCTCCTCTCTCCAGGTTAAAGGGGGCAGCGGGTCGCCCAGGTATGGCAAATCGAATTCAGCGGCAGCAGCGGTGGAGCCCAGCCCTTGCTGCTGCTGCTGCTCCTGCTGCTGCTGCTGTTCCTGCTGTGCCTGCTGCTGCTGTGGAGGAAGCAGCGCCATACTCCACTGAGAGGAGGACTCTATATCCCATGGCTGGAGAGGAAGCTGTTCCTGCTGCTGCAGCTGCTGCAGCTGCTGCAGTT